AGTATCTACAGGGACACGGACACCCCATCCGGTCACACCCACACCCTCAAATCACGAAAATGAAATTAGAAATCAAGAAATCAGTTTGTTCCCCCTTGGGTGGTACTCAAGAAAAAAAGCACACAGCTACAATTTGTCAAGAAGCTAGAAACTTCAAATCAAACTTTTGATTACATACTCAGTTCAATTTTATTCTTCAATGCACATGAAATACATGTTACAAATTCAATAATTGAACTAACTAATGGAAGAATAATAGCTGCTGTAAAACTTGAACTAATATGTAATTTTTCAATTGCCCCTTCGAGACTATCAACAATAAATTGACATAAACATACAATTAATATAGTGGTCAATATCAGTGTACTTATACTACAGAAGAAAAAATTTAATTTAATAAGAAATTTAATCAATAAATATTACTAACTCTTTTATGAGTAAATATATTTTTGTAAGTTTATTATTAGTAGGTGCGGGTGGTGTATTTAAAGGAGATGGTGTTTGATCAAGAGCCATCATAGATAATGCAGCTTGCTGGCGACGTTTTGTTATAGTTTTACGTTTAATATCAGCAGTATATAAATAGGAATGTGTTTTCCAAGCAAATATAATATTAACAATACCAAGTACAAAAAGAATGATTGCACTAACATAAGAGAAACGACGCATTATAGTTGTACTCATAACATGCGATCCTAACGAAATCTTTAATGCTGATGGACCTAGAGAAGACAAATCATTTGTTCCTACCATTACAAAAATTTCTATTTTTATTTATTACATAGAATAACAATTGTAAGACAAGTTAATGAAGCAGCATTAATTCCAGCTAATTTTTCACCAAATGTTTGTTCTTTAAAACGTAGTCCACCAAAAAACAGAGCTAAAATATATATTGATGAAAACGAAGTTTTATACAATCGATATTTTTCGTGCATACCTAAACCAACTCCTACGCAAACATTGGATGTTACAGCCCCTAGAATTGATGCTTTAACAACATTGATTAAACCTTTTCTTAAAGCAACAATTGTAAATATAAGTTCAGCAATATTTCCTAAACCAGAATTTAGAAATCCTCCAAAAAAGTTTCCGCAATATTGTGCGACACTTTCGGTTGCTTCAGTTGAAAATGCAGCTAATGGAATAATTGCTAAAATTGCTGTACAAAATATTAATGTTGGATTATCAGAAAAAATATATTTTGAAATAAATGCAATTGGACAAAAAATAGATAAACCAAAAAATATTCGATTTTTAAGCGATGTCGATCGAATATAATTTAACAACTGATGCATAATATTAAAACAAGAACATAAAAAATATTCGATACAAAAATTAGCGCTCGATATTAAAAATTTCCAATCCATGTTAAATTCAATATTCTTATAGTTTCATTTTCAATCCTATCAAAATAGTGCTTAAATGACCTTGATAGTTCTCTGTGTATAAATCAATTTTATATTCGAAGAGGTACTTAACATGCTTATCTTCTAGTTTCAATAAAATCTTCAACCCCGATCAATTATTTCATCTATAGATAAAATTAAAAATAATAAATTTTGTTCTTCAACTGATTTTAATTTCAAATATTCGATTTGTTTTTTTTCTGTTGTTGTTTGATATAATACGTTCTTTTACATATGCACACATACAATCTTTGTTGCTTTGATTATTTACAAGCGATAGGGTAGTTATACAAGTAAACAGGAAAAACGTTGTGTTGTTATACTCTACACTGATAACAATATATATTATAATCTAAAACGTATTTTATTGTGTCAACTGCTTATAAATATAAATATATATGCTTTAAATGACATCATACGCCAGTAAAGCAAATGCAAACGTCTGTGATAGTGATTACTCGATCTCTTTCTTTCTTCTTCTTGTTGAAAAGAGTGAATAAATTGTTTGATTTTATATATATTTGAATCTTTTCTTTTACAAAAAAAAAAGAGAAAGAGCAAGCAAGGCTCTAATATAATGTCAATGTATACACACGTCATTTATTTGCTTGCATTTTAAATCAATGTATTATTAATGACATGAATTAGAAGTATTTATTGAGTAAGTATATCACATATAGTTGTCTTTCAGAACTATTTATTTTATGATTGATTATAATCATAGAAAAAAAATTTTTTTTCTTTTTTTTTTTTTGTGCTTTATTATTCTCTTATCATCTAATGTAAATTCTAACTAGCAGAACAATTGTATGTATGCACGCGCAACGGATGACAAGTTCTCAAATAACTCACTTATATTTTTTCTCTCTCTCTCTCTGTCTCTTTCTTCATCCGTTCGATAAAAGCAATTATTGGCGCAACAAACTTTTGATAAAAATAAACAGAAAGAGTGAGGATTTACGGAATATGCGCGTGCGCTCTTACACATTCGAAATTTGATCACAGTCGTCATCAACGGATTATACATCTCTTCATCATTCGTATATTCTTAACTCAAAATATTTAAATGACGATGATGAAGGAGAAAGAAGGAGTAAACACACGTATAAGCATATATACAGGAGAGACGCCATCTGCCTTTTTCAAACAGCATCAGCACAAACCGAGAGAGAGAGAGAGAGAACAATTTACACAAAGCTTTATCAAACAGAGGGAAGAAAAAAAGTGGATATTTCGACAAAAATCTTGTTGAATTGGTAAAGAAGAAAAAAAAAATGAGACAGAAAGAACAAGAGGAAGAGAGATATCACTCTTTTCTATGTGTATTCGATTGAAGTGACAATAATACCAAGTAAGAAGAAGAAGAAAAAAAGAAAGAGACGACGGTAGTATTCGATTAGCAAATAATTGACATAGGTAGGTTATTTCAAAAAAAAAAAAGAAAAAATTTATTTTAGCTTGACAAGTATTTTCCTTCTCACTTTTTCTTTTTGTTATATGAGAAAAAAAAGACTAAGAATTAGATAATGTTTGCACATGTCTTACCGAAAATAAACAGTACCTGATGGTGCTATTTCTCATATATACTTTTATCACGATTTTTAAATAAATAAGTATAAATCATTCTTCTTCTTTTTTTCTTGCTCTTTAGTTTAAACGAAAAATAATCTAGAAGAGAACTTAGTTGTTTTATATTCTAATTGTATTATGTAAACATTCTTATTTCTTTTTTTTTTGGTATATTTGTTAAGTGTACTTAACAATTATCGTCTTTAAGATTTTGTTTACTCATCGTTATTACTCTAGTCTTATTTCTTATTCTCTCTCTTGTCACCTGATTGAAAGCGGGTAAGAAATTTTGTTAGATG